CATCTGCATATCTGAGGTTGTTGATCTTTTCCCCAGCAATCTTAATTCCCGCTTGTGATTCATCCAGGCCAGCATTTCGCATGATGTACTCTGCATATATATTAAATAAGCAAGGTGACAGTATACATCCTTGTCGTACTCCTTTTCCTATGCTGAACCAATCAGTTGTTCCGTATCCGGTTCTAACTGTCGCTTCTTGGCCCTTATACAGGTTTCTCAAGAGACATGTGAGGTGGTCTGGTACTCCCATCTCTTTAAGGACCTGCCATAGTTTGTTGTGATCCACACAGTCAAAGGCTTTAGCATAGTCAATGAAGCAGAAGTAGATATTTTTCTGGTACTCTCTTGCTTTCTCCATAATCCAGCGAATGTTGGCAATATGATCTCTCGTTCCTCTACCTCTTCGAAACCCAGCTTGTACTTCTGGTAGTTCTCTATCCACGTACTGTTGAAGCCTAGCTTGTAGGATCTTGAGCATGACCTTGCTAGCGTGTGATATGAGTGCAATTGTGCGATAGTTTGAACATTCTTTGGCATTGCCCTTCTTTGGGATTGGAATGTATACTGACCTTTTCCAATCCTGTGGCCACTGTTGCGTTTTCCAAATTTGCTGGCAAATTGAGTGCAGCACTTTAACAGCATCATCTTCTAAGACTTTGAATAGCTCAGCTGGGATACCATCACCTCCACTAGCTTTGTTGTTAGTAATGCTTTCTAAGGCCCATTTAACTTCACATTCCAGGATGTCTGGCTCGAGGTCAGTGATTATACCGTCGTGGTTGTCAAGGACATCGAGGTCTTTCTTGTATAGTTCTTCTGTGTATTCTTGCCATCTTTTCCTAATCTCTTCTGCTTCTGTTAGGTCCCTACCGTTTTTGTCCTTTATCATGGCCAGCTTTGCATGGAACGCTCCCTTGATTTCTCCAATTTTCTTGAAGAGATCTCTAGTCCTTCCCATTCTATTGTTTTCTTCTATTACTTTGCACTGTTCATTCAGGAAGGCCTCCTTATCTCTCCTTGCTGTTCTCTGGAAATCTGCATTCAGTTGGGTATATCTTTCCTTTTCTCCTTTGCCTTTCGCTTTCCTTCTTTCCTCTGCTATTTGTAAAGCCTCATCAGAAAGCCACTTTGCTTTCTTGCATTTCTTTTTCTTTGGGATGGTGGTGATTGCTGCCTCCTGTACAATGTCACAAACCTCCGTCCATAGTTCTTCAGGAACTCTATCTATCAAATCTAGACCCTTGAATCTATTCTTCACCTCTACTGTATATTCATCAGGGATGCGATCTAGGTCAAACCTGAATGGCCTAGTGGTTTTCCCAATTTTCTTCAGTTTAAGTCTGAATTTTGCAATGAGTAGCTCATGATCTGAGCCACAGTCAGCTACAGGTCTTGTTTTTACTGTACAGTAAAGAGTACAGAGTAATAATTGACTGTGACAGACACAATCACAACAGCTCAGTGACTTCAACCAACCTCCTGAATTAAAGGTCGGAACATCCAGTTTTCCATGGGGCATGTATGTTGTGTAGCTTCTTAAAATGAGAGCCAGGATTGTATAGTAACTAAAGTGCTGGTCCAGGATCTGGCAGAACTGGGTTTGTATCCCCACTCTAAAAGTGGAAGCTAGCTGGGTGACTTGGGTCATTCCCTCTAAACTTAACCTAATTCACAGTTATTGTAAGGCTAAATTAGATGTTGTAAGCGACCTTAAGTCCCCATTGGGGAGAAAGGTAGAATATAAATATACAAACATTTTTTTTCAAGTTTAGTATATTGAGCTATGTAGATTTTATGGCTGTGTTCAGACATCGATAACAATAAGCCAGGTGATGAGAATAAGGCCTTGGATGTTGCCAAGGGAAGCTTGTTCCAAATCAAGAAGTTTTCAGTCTCTGTGCTATGGTCAGTAGGAAAGTTGAAGGAATGTGTGAGCCCAAATACTTCATGGATCATTGTTGTCATGAACAGAGTGAAGTTTGTATGTCTGAATGAAGCCTATGGAAAGTTTCAAAGGGACTGGTCTTTTGTTTTAGCAGGAATTGCAAAAGTAAAACTTTCCTTTTTAATTAGTTCTTAAGCATTATTAAGTATTATTTAACAAAAGCTTGAAATACTTCATTGTTTGGAATCAGCAGGCCTTCCTGGAATAAGCCTTGCCATTATTCTGGGATCCCTCTTTCCCCTGTTCTGGTAGAGGCAGAAGATCTTCACTTTTTGATAACTGTTTCAAATTTGATTTCCTCTGAATGGAGAAGAGGTGTTCCTGAGTGGTGTTTGTATGTGTGAACATCGGGAAACAAGAATCAATGTCCTCCTTTGTATTCTAATTAATAAATATCACATTAATCCCCACAGCTGAGGTCGCCATGACTTCCTGGCACGGGTACATGTGCACACACACAAAAAGTGCAAAAATAACAACAAAAAGACTACAACAAGACCTAATATTTTAGAAGGTGATCTCAGAAGGTTGTGAATGTATAGCAGACATACAGATACTGTATTGTGTAAATGCTCATTTGAATGGATAAGTGGTGTTCAGCCAAGACAGTTGTGAAATATTGTATGCCTCAGTGTTGTAGTCCAGGGGTCCCCAACCTTTTTTAGCCTGGGGGCACCTCTGAAATTTGAAGAGGGGTTGGTCAACACCACCCCAAAATAGCTGTCGTAGGAGATGGAGCCAAACCTCAATGGCTACTGTACAATACCTTTCTTTTTACTTTGCAAAAGAATTGCAGTAGGGGCATTAAAAGAAACAAAGGAAAGTCCAAGGGAAGGATGGGAGAAAGAGAAGAGGGAATGTCAAGATTTCTCTCTCCTCCCCAGACCACACCGGACTGGGAGGGGAAAGAATTCTTTACTGGAACAAAGAATTTACACAAGAACCCAGGAGAGGTAGGCTCTCTGGATTTAAGACAATAACCACCAGAACCTTTTTCAACTATGGTCCCCTTCCAGTGCAAGAGCAAGGTTCAAACTCTTAACTGGCCTCTGGGACTTATTACAAGAATACTCTTAGCCAGGTAGCATAATGTGGTGAGCAGTTTCAGGCAACAGGAAAGAGGCTTGGAGTCAGTCACACATCAACAGACAATCTTTATAACAAGAATAAAGTTTATTAAGTACAGGCTTGCAATCAGAAATAATAATACTTCCAAAATAAGAAAGGCTAAGCAAGGTTTTGCCTAACTACACAATAGAGCATATTTACCAACATCAGGTAGGGTCAATAGTCCATAGTAAGAGTCCAATATCTTGAGAAACAATAGCTCCATCCTTGCGGGCACATAGCCATGTGCTTCAGCTCACATGGAGTTCTTTGTCTGCCTGGGACAGCCTTTCCCAGGTACAATTCAACATGAAGTAGAGAGCAAGAGAAGAAACTGAGCTCCCTTCCAAGGGATCAGACAATTGAACCCCAATCTCATTATGATCAGCCATGGCCAGTAGCCAATCGCAAGGAGACATGGGTGTTCACCTTTTGGGGTTGTCATGGCAATTGTTGGGGGATAGGTTGGGTCCGGGAATCATCCTCTGCAGTAAGATGATACCCCAGGGTCCCACCTCATCCTTGAGCCTACGTGCGTTTTTGCATGCTTCTGGCCTCTGCCAGCAAGTAGAGGAATGTTTATGGGGGCAATTTGACCAAATGTTCAGCCATCTGGCTTGCATAGGAAGTCAGAACAACAGGGGGTACATGCCAGGGGGAAGGCAGGGTCTATAGGAATCAATTTTCCTATACAGGGAATAAAAAGAAGGAAAGTATCTGAAGAGGAATGGAACAACAGGTCTGGATGCTTACTAATTCTGATCTTTTTGTGGTGGCTGCTGCTGTTGCATCCATGGAAAACCCTTTCATTTGAATGAAGGCAGCCAATAACAAGCCCTGTCTGACAAAGGCCCTGGACACTTTCTGGAAAGCTCAGCAGGCAACATGGTGCCCATGGGCACCACATTGGTGAATCCTGTTGTAATCTATAGCTGAAGTCCTTGGAAGCATGAAATAAAAACAGGTGAATTGTAGTCCATGTAAACTGAAGCCGGAGTAAAATGGTTCCTCTACGGTGCTACAGGTGTCCTGTTGATTGTCACTGCAGTGAAATAACATGGCCGCCCCTCTGGGATTTTGAAGCAGGATTACAGAAATAAAGTGCCGGTCATTATTTCAAACTAGGCCTCCCTGCAGCTGCTTTTTAAGGCTAAACTTGGATCTCCAGCCTCAGCCCGAGTTTGACCGTTTGTGTGATAACATGATGCCCTTTCACTCCAAAACTGAAGTTTAGTGTTGGGGCAAATGAGCTTCAGTTAAGGGTTTTATATTATTCAAGCTATGTACAGATTTGACTAGACCTGCAGAAGAACAGACTCTGGGAATGAGGCGGAGCAGCAGAGGACAGGCAAAGCTGACAAGGCAATGGCCTTGCTCATTCAACTTTGCAAAGGCTCAGGGTCCTTTAAACAGTCGCTGCCACCTGTGCAAAGCAGCTACAATTCCCTACGTTTCACAGCAGCAAAACATCCCTCACTGTTAGGTATGTCTGTGGTGTGTGAACTAAGTACAGGTAGCTGCCCTGTGCTGATTGCTGTATTCTTTGATTGTTACCGCAACCCCATGAAAAGTCACACAGGAAGACTTTTTGCCTTGCCCAGCTTCTAATAAGTCCATAGTGGGAGTGTGTGTGTGTTAATGATGTGACTGACCAAGTGGCAGACAAGAACAAAAGGACCTTGTCACAGTTCAGAGAAGAAATATTGTTTGAATGGGAGTGTTGGTGCAGTCAGCAGCAAGGTGGAAGATGGGCAGTTGTAGCATTTGATTGGACTTTTCCCACAGTTTACATTTACCCAGTTAACACATTTCTTCTGACTTTTTTCTGTATATCAGTGAGTGGTGTAACGAGCGACCCTATATAATATAGCAAACTGGCTCTGAAATAAGTTGTTACTGTTTTTGCTCTTGTTGCATGCCAGTGCCAATGTACCACTCTTTATTTCAGGCATCGAATAGCAAGTGGAAGTTGACTGAACCATGGCTCAATTTCCAACACCTTTTGGGGGTAAGCACCAGGACATTTTTAAAAAGCTTAGTTTAATCAATTTTATTTCAAAAATATTTTACCCAAATAAATAGCTTGATTTTAAGAACCAAAAATCTTTCTATTAATCTTGGTATGCAGTTACAGCAGTTGGAAAAATGATTTAAACCTTGTGTGAGGTGAAGTGTTCTTGGGTTGTTGCAGGAAGAAAGGATGACTGGAGCAAATCCATCAAGAGCCACAATCTGAGGACCTCATGAATGATCTGTGGGCCAATCAGTCATTTCAGAAAGTCATATCAATGTAATAGACTTGTTTTCAACAGGGAGGGATCCACAGATTTTGTCTGAGCTTGGTAGCTAGCCTTTGCTTCCAGTAGCGGTGAAGTTCAGCTTTCTTGCTGGCTACTCTACAATGACACCACAAGCGTGTCCCTTTCATGCCTGCTATCTGTTGAGGGAAAGTTTCTGAGGCTTAAGTGGTGGTTGTTTTGTAACAAGCCCTCTTCTCTAACATGTGATACTGATGGCATAGGATGCAGCCCTGTTGTATTTTGAAAGAGGCAGTTCCTCTTTCCATGTGCTGTTGTCAGCTTTTTAAAAAAATTAACTGGCTTGTCTAGTCTTATACTAGAGGTGTCCCTGCTGGTCACCAAAATAAAGTATATGGTTGCTACTGGTGATCTGGCAGTTGCTGTCCTTTCAGCCAGCAAGCTCATGTTGTTTGCACCCCAAGGCATCACATGCTTATATGGGCAGATCTATGTAGACCTATGGGCAGACCTCCACAGAGCAGTCCACAGTTTCCTGTACCTCTTGCAGAACCTCCAGACCTTTAGAATGCCTTGGACCTCTAGGAGCTGTTTAGGCTACTTTCTGGATGGAGAAAATATTTTCTAATTGGATGGTGTTGTAAAATCTAAACATATTGGGAATAATAGAGATTCTTTTATAATGAACCTTCTTTTGTTTTCTCAATTTCTTCATTACAAATAGGCAACCTGGACATCTGGGCTATAACTGTGGATGAGAGAGCTAAGCATGATCAACAGTTCCACAGTTTGAAACCAGTATCTGGATTTATCACTGGTAATGCATTGTTTTATATAATGTCTATTCCTCAGCCATGTAATTTGGTGCTTCCCTGGGGCAAGTAGCAGTTGCCCCAGCCCAGGTCATGTACCCAAGTGACAATGTACTTGTGTTTTAAGACTACAAGGCGGAGAAGCCTAGACATGCTTGCAGTGAGCTCAGTAATACAGTGTAATGTGATTAAAGTATGTTGCCCAAAATGCTGAAGACCTGAAATGAAAGAATTAGGCAATTGCTTTTGTGATTCTGGGGTGATAAGAGGAGAGACAGGCTCTCTGTTGCAACTACAGTATTTCTTTTTCTGGCATGCATGGAAAAAATGGCTTTAACTGTTGATTACATCCTACACAGAGAAGGAGAAGCAGCCAGCAGTGTGCTGCTGCTTGCCCCCTCAGTAAGATAAGATGGGCTGCATGTAAGTTTTTCCAGTAGTACAAATAGCAGCTTTCTGGGGCTGTTTCAGGTGAGAAGGTGTGTGAGGAGACTCTTTATGGGGAATCAGGGGCACCTGATGCCTAAGAATTATGTTTCGGCACAGAATTCATAGTTGTTGTCTGGCTTGAATAGGACTCAAGTTAAGCTGTTAGAGTCTCAAAGTCTTGTGCATGTGAGACTTTGAACTGCATCTTTTTAAAGGTCCCATATGATTCTACAGTCCCCTCCACTATAATTGAGCCAGAAAAAAACAGATGTTTTGCACATACCCCTATTATGCTTTTCAGTATGATTTGTAAGCTGCCTTGAATTACAGGGGAAAGTGGGATATAAATATTTGAATAAATAAGTAGTTTGGGCAGGTAGATAACATTTAAGCAACTTCCTGTTTGTTAGGTTAGGCAGGGTTCTGACAGTGATTGTTCCACCTCTGTTATACTTGAGCTGTAATGCTGGTTGTCATAGTTCACTAAAAAACAAAGTAGATTAATGTTTTCTCTCCTGTGTGCTGGTATGTTTTCTGAGGGTCAGCGCAAGGCGATGGTCCAAGGCCAGGTCTACCAATATAGTGGAAAGGGGTGGGTATACCTGTTCTCTGTGGGCCAGGTTTACCAATATTATGGAAAGGCGTGGGTAGACCTGTTCTCCAGAGACCAGGTTACTCTGCTGGCTTTTAATTGCTCCTTTTTAGGATTTTAACCTGGTTTTGAACTTGCATGTTTATTGCTGATTTTGTTGTCAAGTTTTATTTGTATTTATGTTTTTGTGAGCTGTCTTGAACTTTGGAAGATTGTCTAGAATTAATTTAAACTGGTCTGTACTACTGTTATTTGAATATGACATCTCCATGACTAAGTCATCTGTCCACATGAAGCAATAAAGTATTAGAGATTTGATTGGATGGTCAGGAGACTGAGGAGAGGGGATGGGATGTATTCACACTCATAGAAGTGGAAATTTCTTCCTGGAATGTAACAGGTATATATGTTCACATGCTGCTTATTCTGTGCTGCTGTGCCTCTTTGCCATACTTCTTTGGCTGAGAGCAGTGTTGAATTTACATGTGCTCCCTTAAAAATACATGGAAATGTGTTTCATTTATTTATTGGTGAGAATACATCCTGTGGAGAAAGTGTTTTGCTTCCTTGCTTTCCAAGGCATACATTCCAATAAATCAAAGCCATTAAAATAGACTAGACAGCAGGAACCATATGTTTCCCTTTCTTCTATCTAAACTGATGTTAATATAGTGTGAATTTCCTATTGACTAAAGCACAGATGTTTCAGTTTGTAGTCATGCATATTTCTCATGCTCCTATTCTTCTAAACAAATACTTAAGAGATGTATAACTTGTTAATAGAACAGTATATTTATTGTGGATATATGATATTGTTCTTAGGCCCAAGCTACATGTTCCATTTTACGTTTGATTGCCACAGGGACTTGCAGCCATTCAGCAGCTGCAAGTTTGCCATAGCAACTCAAAGTAGAAATGCTGCAAGGGCCTGATTCTGGTTGGAACACTGGTGTGGAGGGAGGAGGGACTCCTGCCTCCCTGGGCACTGTTTTTCCACTCCAAAATGACTCTGGGAGGGCTGCATGTGCACTGAATACTTGCAAATGTGCCCCCCCCCCTGGGTTAAATAACACTTTATGGGGCCATTTCAAGTTAGGGAAATGGCATGGGGGGGGGGCAAGAGTCCCTTCTTCCCTCAGTCTGTGCTTCCTTCCAGAGTCAGACCCCTGTGGTGTTTCCAAATTGTTTTGCCAAAAGGAATTCAGAGCTGGTGTCCTACTGCAAGTCCTTATTGGGACCACATGTTAAATATTGGGTGTAGTTTGGCCCGAAGAGGTTGATCTGTGAACGAGTAAGTTACCAGTTCATACCTTGCCTCTAGCAGGAACACACTTTAGGCATCGTTCCTCCCACTGTCTGCCAGATAGGGATAATAAATAATACCAGCCTACTTATAAGGTTATTGTAAATATTGTTCAGAAAATGTATGTAAAGGACTTTAAACTCTAAAAGCATGATATAAATGCTTCTTGTTATTTGCCAGTCCTTTTGTCTCTTACTTGAAATAACTACCTCCTCCTTTACAGGGGATCAAGCTAGGAACTTTTTTTTCCAGTCTGGGTTACCTCAACCAGTTTTAGCACAGATATGGTAAGTTTTTTATTTACAAATTCTGAAAATTAGCAATTTGCTGCAACTAAATTAACAGTCTTTTGTGATGCATTTGTCGTTAAGGTATCACAATGCCATTTGCTGTTGTAGAACTGTCAGTGAGCTTCTGGTTTCTGCATAATTCTTTTACTGGCCTCTTCTTTATGGGATTTGTGGCTGGTGAGCCCATAAGCCATTAAGAAGTGTTTTATGTAGGCTTTCAAATCAAGCTCTAATGCTTCTGAAGACAGTAACCAAATTGAAGTAGACATGAGTTTTGCTCTACTCATGCTGAAACTTGGAAAGAAGGGAGGACAAGTAGACAGTATTATACTTTTCCTTTTGAAACCAAAGACTTTACAATTTCTGTGAAATATGATATCCCTGTTTACACTAAATTTTTCACATTGTCAAAGAATTTTTTTTTGCCTTTTGTTTGTCTAAATTTCTGGTCACAGCAATAAATTCTAGTATCACTGACATCAGCTTTATGACAGAGAACATTTAAAGTCTAGAAGGGAATAAAGCAGACTTCCAAAAAGGCTCTCTTGTATGGAACTTTACATAACAAAAGCTGCTAAAAAGAAAGTAGTAAGTTTTTCTTATGGATATAAAGTGTCCTTTGGTTAATGACAGACCATCATTATGTGACACTTGGCAGCAATAACAATATAGAAAATTCTGTTACATATTTTTACTTGTACATATTTTATGCATTTTTGTCTAGTAGATACATTACATGACAGATCTGGAATGGCAGATTAGAGACAGGGTGAAAATTGGCTACATCATTTTATCTATAGAGAATTTTTTTTTTTTAGTAACAGAGATAACTGCCTCTTTGAGTGGTCAAGGGAAGGTGCCCTGAGTTATTTCTTGATTTATAATAGTACTAAGGATTCATTAAAACATGGTCTTTATATGATTTTAGAAGCCTGGATGAGAAAGGGTCCAGGGCACAAGCAGTGGTTTGTTAACATACATCATGGAAACAGGGTTAAAATGGTCCATTAATAGAACAGGGACTGTATTGGGTAGTTCTTCCTGTGGACCTATGCTACAGTCAGCATCTAGATCATCTAGGTCATTTCCCTTAACTACAAAGCTGAACCTGTCTGACTGACTCTGTCAGACTCACTGACTCCAACCGACTCTGTCAGAAGCAGATTGACTGTCTGACTTCCCCAAAGACCCACTGGCAGAATGACTCCAAAAAGCCCATGCCCTCATATAGTTCTCCTCAGTTGGTACTGGCCAATCAGAGGGAAGGGGGGGAAGGGAGCAGCCTGTCACTCAAGCTCTCCACTCCAGTGGAGAGTTAACTCTCCACCTCCCAGCTCTCTGAAATTGCTGCACTAGGAAACAAAGGCTGTCCATCACAGAGCTCTATAACAGGATCTGTCAGAATCAGTATGAGTTCTCCTAGCTTATTTACTTGTAAATAAATAAACACTTAAAACAATTAGTAAATCTAAATCTAAAAGAAATCAACCCTGATTGTTCCCTGGAAGGCCAGATACTGAAGCTGAAACTCAAAAACTTTGGCCACCAAATGAGAAGGGAGCACTCACTGGAGAAGACCCTGATGCTGGGAACAATTGAAGGTCAAAGAAGAAGGGGACGGCAAAGGATGAGATGGTTAGACAGTGTTATCAATATAACGAACATGAAATTGAGCAAACTCCAGGGGACAGCGGAAGACAGGAGGGCCAGTGTGATGTGGTCCATGGGGTTGCAAAGAGTCAGACTTGACTGTGCTACTGAACAACAAAAAATCTATTATAACTTTGTCAGCTGCATATAAAACATTTGAGACAGCTTTATTGTCTTTGCTTTATAATAATTAAATTTCCAGAAGATGTCCAAGATGACACATAACAGTAAAAAAAATGCATTAAAATAACATACAGATGAAAACAGCAGATTCCTTAAACTAGTTTAGACTGCATAAAACATATATAGCGTAAAATAAATCAGCCAAACTTAATATTTGAAACAGCAGATAAAACCAGCTGAAAAATAAACTGGAATTGACTAAAATGAGGTGTAGCAACAAATAACCAATACCATAATTTTAACAGAAGCTAATTGAAACAAAAATGCCTTCATTTGGAACTTAAATGACAATAAAGATGGTTCTAAGCAATTTTCTTAGGGGAGGCTTTTGCAGAGATGTACTGGCTCAAGTGGTTAAGACGCTGAACTGCAGGCTGTGGAAGGTCAGTAGTTCAGCAGTTCGAGACCCGGGTGCCGCATGATGGAGTGAGCTCCCATCTCTAGTTCCAGCTCCTGCCAACCTAGCAGTTCGAAAGCAAGAAATTGCAAGTAGATAAATAGGTACCACTTCGGTGGGAAGGTAACAGCATTCCGTACGCCTTGGTGTTTAGTCATGCCGGCCACATGACCACGGAAACGTCTTCGGACAGCGCTGGCTCTTCGGCTTTGAAACGGAGATGAGCACCGCAACCCTAGAGTCGGATTCGACTGGCTTTCGAGCAAGGGAACCTTTACCTTTACTTTACTGGCAAAATATTTCATCATGCTCCTCAGGGTTTTCTTGCTAGTCTTCAGTTGTTATAATTTAAATATAAAAGTAATTGGTTTGCAGAAGTAGCTTTTTGGAGACATAAATGTAGGGGATGCAAGCATTCAGTGGACTTTGATCTCAGTGTAGAATTTTGCATATGTGATAGTTTAGACTAAATGGCTAAGGGATAGTAATACTTGATAGAAGAGCCCAGGCTTTGTATGCAGAGGATCCTAGTTTTGCGGGGTTTCCGGTTTTGGAAACATAGATTGTATTCAGAATTTATTAGAAAGAATAATCTACCAGGGAAAGTTACAATAAGATTCTCTTGAAGAAAAGTGAGAGACCAATTACTGAAAGCATCTAATGGAGCTTTGAAGCTAAAAGACAAAGATATAAGAATACTGAAAGATGTTCCATTTGAGATAAGAAGGAAAAGAAGGAAATATAGAGACTTGACTATTTCTCTAAAAGCATGATGTTGCCTACAGATGGTTAACACCTGAGGGACTAATCTTCAGATATGCAAATAGTAAAGAAAGGATTGACTCTGTTGAAAAGGCTTATGAATTTTTGCGTCAACATAGCAGTCCAAAAGGAGAAGGTGCGACCGATGACGCCAAAGAGAGCAAGGAAGAAGGAGAGGCTGGATCCCCCGAGGAAGACTCTGACTCTAAATTGGGGGGGGGGTCCTAAACAAGGCTATCAGTTGAGACACAGAAAGGGGAAAAATAGATTGTCAGTGTGCTCTGGAATACCTAAAAAGAAGTTTATTGTATATCGTTCTACAATCTTTTTATGAAATTAGAAATGTTGATGAAGCTCTTATGTTTAATTAGATGATCATTTTCAACTAAAGTTAACTTGTGTTTAAGTTTAAAGGTAAATTTGTAAAAGTATGTATGATCAACCATCTCTTGGGTTTTAGAGGGTTTTCTTTACTTTCTCCTATAGAGGTAGTTCCCCTTTCCTGGATTTTCTGTTTGTAGTTTTTAGTATGGAGTTATTAGAAAATGCAATTAAAAACATCCCCTATGGGGGGGTACAAAAAAAAAAGGGATCCTAGTTTTGCTTCCTGGCGTCTCTGCTTTAAAAGGATCTTAGGTAGCAGGGCTGGGAATGTCCTGTTCCTTAGGCTTCAGAAAGCTGCTTGCCAGTTAGTATTGGAGTAATGGACTAATGATTCATACGTTCAGAGTTTCGAATAATGAATCATTGTTTTGGAAGTGTTTCCAAGGTCATGCTTAAAAACCCCCCAAATGTTTTTTATAGGGCTCTTGCAGATATGAACAATGATGGAAGGATGGATCAGCTAGAGTTTTCTATAGCTATGAAGCTTATCAAACTAAAACTGCAAGGTTATCAGCTCCCTTCTACATTGCCTCCTATTATGAAACAGCCTCCCCTTGCCATTTCTAGTGCACCAGGATTTGGTAAGAGCAGATGCCCTCCCGATGTTGATTTGTTTAGTATGGTTGCCAGGTCTGGGTTGGAAAATACCTGGAGACTTTTGGGGTGGATCCGGGAGAGGGCAAGGCTTGGGGAGGGGAGGGACCTCAGCATGGTACAGTGCCATAGAGTCCACCCTTCAAAGCAGCCATTTTCTCCAGGGGAGCTGATTTCTGTCAGCTGGAGATCTCCAGGCCCCACCTGGAGGCTGGCAACCTTACGATAGAGTCTTTGCATGCTGCTATACATCGTTCTCTGCTCAGTTCAAAGTGAATTATTTTCTCTAAAGCAGATATTAGTTATCCTTCTGTCAGAATTGCATTTAACAATTTGATGGAACTATTTGCAGTGAAAGATGTGGTCCATTCCCATGATCATTATTAGGGTAGTCATGGTGGTTTCACCTTTTTATTTTATTTTCAGTCTGTAGCCTAATGTTACATTTATTGGTATATAATTCTTTGCTTTGTAAATAACATGAATAAAAGTGTAGATGATGCTAAATGTGAAAATCTTTCCTTACAGGGATTGGTGGTCTTCCCAGTATGCCACCTCTTACAGCTGTTGCTCCTGTGCCAATGGCATCCATTCCTGTAGTGGGAATGTCTCCACCTTTAGTATCTTCTGTTCCTACGGCAGCTGTACCCCCTCTTGCCAATGGAGCGCCTGCTGTTATCCAGCCTCTGCCTGCTTTTGGTCATCCTGGTATGCTTGAATTTTTAACACATGTTTGCTAATTGATTTGTAAATCTTTGTGTAGCTGAAGTTCTATAATGTACTGTATGAATGCAAACCTTATAATATTAAAGCTCTAAAAGAGAACCAGTTTTAATATACTTTTAAAATTGATTGTTCATGTGTTATCAAAAAAGCAATTAAACATAACCATGAACAAAATGTAGGCCCAGGAAGATCTGCCACAATTTCTGCGTGGCCACTGGATTTACCTGGTTGAGCTATAGGATAACATCACCCTTGGAGAACCATCCGGAGACCATCTTGTTAAATTGAGTATAATTTTTATTAACTGTTATTAATGTTTTATTGCTTTTATCTGTTTTATATGGGCTTTGCCCCTTGTAAGCCGCCCTGAGCCCGCTCTGCGGGGAGGGCGGGGTATAAATCTTAATAAATAAATAAATAAATTCCCTAAATAGCGGGATTATTTTAGCTCTTGAATTGATCATAGTTCTGGCGCATAGGTCCTTGATAGGTTTACATAGCTTGTCATTATAAATCGACAAGTTTGCTAATATTAGTCAGTTTAAGTGAATTTTATTGTGCTTTAAATTAGAAGTTCAAAATAAAAAGGGTGCCTGGAATAGCAGCTACTGCTTGCTTAATGAGTTGTTCAGTACATGACCCGGTAATTGGGATTCATCACCTATCATTAACTGCCTGGCTGCACTTAACCTTAATGTGGTTAAAATGTAATTTTTGTGTTTCAGCCACATTGCCAAAGAGTTCTTCCTTCAGTAGATCTGGTGCAGGGTCTCAGTTAAATGCAAAATTGCAAAAGGCACAATCTTTTGATGTTCCTGGGTAAGTGCGTCTGCTTTTCTTTATGCAGTTTGGCCACTTTGTCATAGATGACAGTCCAACAGCTACTCGAGCACAGATGTCCCATTCAATTTAAGGGAAGTGGCTGCATGCAAATATGTAGCTTCAACGATGTGACCTTGGAATATAATGGTGCAATTCAAAAGAATGAAGTCTGAAGTTAGACGAATGCATTTCTGTCACAGTGGGAGATGTTTGTGTGTAACCATAATTATGTACATACTGAAAGACATTTCATATTGCACATCCCCTTCCTTTTTGTGTTGCGGAAAGATGTGCCTAAAAATAGCAAAGATTTATTATACAAAACTGATAATGTGTGTACTGTCTTGAATTTGAGAATTATCAGGGTTTTTTTAAAAAAAATCATTTTCACTGTTCAGTTTCTGGACAGTGCCCATATTCTGCTATCTTACCATTGCTTTTTTGAACAAAGCTCTATGCCATTGCATTGTTTAAATGGTTGTCTTCCTTCCATTTCTGTTCTTAGCAGCAGAACCTCTCTATCACATTCATCATGTATGCTAGATCTCCATGTTTTCCTTCTTGTGCTTGTCGTGTTACATCCTCACATACATTTTTTTTAAAAAAGATCATGCTTTCTGTGGCAGTGTGAGCCAGTTACTGGTTTCCTCTGATGTTACGCATAATTTATTGTTAATGAAGCACTTTGCTTCCATTGGTTGCAACATACATTCTGAAGTTTGGGGAATATTTAAACTTTAAATAAAAATCCCAATGGCGGATACCAACAAGAAAAAAATAAACATATCAAAATTTATTTCTAACAGTATTGCAATAAAATGATTAAAAGAGACCTTTCCTATTTTCATATAGGAGCACCTAAAGGTGTACTGAGAATTTTTCAAAGGATAAACTTTTTTTAAAAAATGGAAAGAGGAACAGCAAATTACTGTGGAAATTGTGGTATGCACAAAGTTTGAGAAGTACAAAGTGATACCTTTGGGCAGGTGTTTGGTAGGGTGCCCAGTGCAGATGAGCCTGCCCCATATTTGCCTTGGTCAGCACATGACTTCCATGTTGGCTTTCCCTGTGTCATCGGCTCTGAAGGGAAAGGGTATTTACAGCACTCAAGATCTTCTTCCTTCTGGTGATCCCTATCCCATGCTGCCTTGAGTGGGAAGTCATACTTGCTCCTTGAACAGCTTTCCAGCCCTGTTTACAAAGTGTGCAACATCTTGTGTAGGCACTATACTGAACCTAGGCAGCTTGCGAGAACTGTCACAAGACACTGTGCTCTCTTCCTTGAACACTGTGCCATCTCCCCCCATGGCCACTGATCACCTGGGGAGGTAGCACCACTCCAGAAGACCCTGTTGCATCAGTAACCTCTTCCCCTGCTCAAAGAAGCTTCTGTCTGAGGGGATGGGAGTTGAGTTCCCATTTCTGGACTAAAGGGGTGATGTGTGACTGGTTTTTGCTCTGGATTCAGGCTGAGACATAGCAGAGACTCTATTAGTAGGTATGATAGACAGTTCGTCTAGAGATAGACAGAGCAAACTGATTGTGCCAGACCTCTTGAGGTGCAATGGGTTGTACGTGGGAGACACAGCTTGGCTCTAGCTCTAGCTCCATGCCTTTGCAGAGTCATAGATGGTAGTATTGGGAGGCCTGCTCCTTGTCCCTATGAAATATGACTTACAGTATGCACTCTCATAACACTAATACTTGGTACTATCCAGTGACATTTATTTGTGAAGGTTTTGGACTGTAAAAGGAAAGTATTTTTCAATCACATGACAAAATTATGGAATTTGCTGCTAAGAACTGTGGTGTTAACTGTTTTTATATGAGCTCATTAAGTGAAATACATCAGCTTCTCAGTGTGGTCTCCCTGATTATACTGACCACCATCTCTTTCTTTGTAAACCAATCTGGGATTGTCAGTGGTATATCTGAAGCAATGCCTGAACTCTGGAGAACGTTATGGGTTGGTTAAGGTCTAAATAATTGAAGCTGAATGGGATCTCACGCTTATTTAAGGACAAAGTTTGCAGTTTGCCAGGAGTGTTTTCTTCATTTCCATCCGGTGCACAAACTGAACGGCTTTCCGAAGAGTGGGGAGCTGGATGCGTTCATTCATACCATAGTAAACCTTTGACTTGGTTACTGCTGTATTGTTTATGTTACTTTCCCATTAAAGGCCTGTTAACCCAGAAGCTTCAGCGGTGCAAAATGAAATAGCTTATCCATTGTCAAGAATAAACTACTAAAGTGATTTATTCAATATTGGCTTGGTTGCCTTCATAATTCTGAGTAAAAGTCACTATGCGAGTTATAACCTATAAAGGCCCAGCCTTTATACCACCTTGCTCATACGGATCTCGCTGTCCTTTAAGATCAGTAGCAAAGGTTTTCTGTAGGGTACCTCAACCTTGGTAAGACCATATAAAGGTGGACTACGGTAGGACATTATTGGTAGTAGCAATGGCAGACTCAATTCAGACATTGACCATTTCCATACAAGTTATTTGACTCAGGTTCAATGCTTAATATACAGGTGATGCAATAAAGGGCACAGCAATCTGAATAACCCAAACTACAAAGAATTGCTGCAAAACGTTCACAAATTCACAAAAACATGACGTTGTCCGTTGAAAAAGTATTGTTGGTTAACTTAAGAGCTATTTATAGCCATTCTGAAATTGAGATTCCTAATAGTGGATTGCTTGGAAAAATTCAGCAAAACAGTTTTTTGATAAAGACCACGAAACGAACTCTGGAAACTCGAGATGTTCGTCATTTGTTGATCTGTGGAATAAAGAAGACATTTGGAATTTAAACATCATGAAAATGTCTACATATTACTGTCATGTTTTTGTGAATTTGTGAACGTTTTGCAGCAATTCTTTGTAGTTTGGGTTATTCAGGTTCAATGCTTGTCAGAAGTGTTTCCCCCCCTTCATTCCCACACCATCATTGTGCATTTGAGCACCTCCCAGGGTTTCCCTAGGGTAGGGGGGATTTTTTATTTCTGTTCTAAATTGACCACTGCTGGGGAACTGGAGCAGGGAAACTGGGAGGAAACCTGCCATATTCAAGTCCCATTGCTGCTGTGCTGTATTGACACCTGTAGCAACAACAGGGAACAAGAGAAGCATGTTCCTATGCGGAAAACACAATCTGCCATTACTGTAGTTAAGGTAGCTTAACTATGGTTTGAATGATGTCTGAATTGACTGTTTTGTGAACAGTTGAGAAACTGGAGTTTTAAATGAATTTATAAACATTGGTTGGTGCTAATCAGTGGTTCAGAAATCTTGGCTAGCCTTGATAGCTGGCCAAAATTTGGACTTGCCACTGAGTGCCATACTCGGCTTCATGGGTACTCCAATTTTTTTCCAAGGCCAAGAGGAGCGATGACTTGTTTCTTTTGCACTGACCTTTGGTGTGGTTTGGAAAAAAGCAAGCTCAGGTACTCCAATTTTTTCCGAGGCCAAGAGGAGCAATGACTTTGGTGTGGTTTGGAAAAAAGCAAGCTCAGACAGCTCTGACACTTAGAGCAAGGTCAGGGAAATGTCTTGCTCTTTTTCTGGCTTGGAAAGGTGTTGGGGTGAACCCCAACATAATTTTTAAAAAGTATGTTTGCCATTCACAAGCTGTTGAGCACATTCTGTGGGCCTTTGGCATTAACTGTGATTGGCATGATGTCTGAATTCTCTGGCCTCACTCTGGAATGCCACATAAGGCCTGCCTGTTGACATTTTTATGTATTGTTTAGGTGTTGTCTTATTGTTTGTCCATGCTTTGAGTCAGTATGTGTTGGTAGCTGGTATTGTAGCTGCTTGTATCATCATTGATAGTATTTATTATTTTAGTGTTAACTGCATTAACAGTTGTGCTATTTTTGATTTTCTGTAATTACAAATACCAAAAGCAATGCACAACAAACACAGTTTAGAGCACATCAAAATAAAGAAAAATTGGGCACAGGGAAAAGAAGGGACAAGTTTGAAGGCTGTATGGAGTGTTTGTATAGTACACGTGCATGCTTATGGAGAGGTTAGAACAAAAAGACAGAGCATAAGAAGAGCCTTTTAGGTAGCACATGAGAACTTTTCTTTGGAAAAACATGCTGACTTTGACAAATTCATTTAATAACATTCAGTGGTAAATAAGAGCGACTGATAAGCTGTTAGATTTTTTTAAACCATAACTATTTATCCTTTATTCAGTTGTGTTTTGCTTATAAGAATGTATAATTGCCTGTTTTTTTACATAATTCTAGTACATCTCCTGCAGCAGAATGGGCTGTTCCACAGTCATCAAGATTGAAATATAGGCAGCTGTTCAATAGCCATGATAAAACAATGAGTGGACACTTAACAGGTATTAGAAAATGCTTTTGTTTAAAATAATTGTTTTTAGAATTGTGGACTCTGAAATAAATATGGTAGATGTTGTTTTAATGTCACGGTTAAGAGGATGAAGTATGTGCTTTGAAGTCTTTAGCTTTGCCATCTACTTATTAGGCTGCCTTAAGTAAGCTACTGATTTCTTAGCCCATACACTTGCCCTGGTAATATAGAGATAATGAAACTGGCATCCATTTGAAAGTTTGTTGTGGGAATTACTGAAAGTGATTATAATGTACATTGAAAAGTCCTTACAAATGCAAAGTATAATGTCTCTTTGACCAGAGTAGCTGCCTCGGCAAGATATTGTATCAGAAAGAATGAACTAACTTCTCTTTGCCTCCCATTCTCTCATTGGACTGCTAGAATAAAGATAGCCTAGAGCCTGCTCCACTTAGGAACGTAGTATACAGATTAGCTCAGTAGGAGGAAAATGCAACAACACAGAGCAGCCTCCTCTCCCCTACCATCCCAAGACCACAGACTGCTTATGCTCCAGGCTAGGCAGTTTGAGGGCATCATACCATTATAGAAAGGTCATAAAACTCTAATCCATGGGAAATCAAGCATGGCAGTTGACTTCCCTTTTCATTCATCTCTGCTATTATTGCTAGAGCAGCCTAATACTCATAAGACTATCTTTATTTCAGTGCAAAGTGGATAGTCTTTAAAAAAAAGAAACATGTATACAGGATACATTTGTGTTAAAAGCCTCTTGCCAGAAAAGGCTAGGCAAAGTTCCAAATTCCCATTGATTGTTTGAAGGTGAGGGACAGAACTTGTACAAATTGAACGGTTCTTGTTTGCCTTGTCCTTGCATTACCTTTAAGAAGAAAACTTTTATACCCCTTAACCACCTTGGTTCTGTCAGCAGATCACATTTGATAATATACTTTGATAGTATACTTTAATTCCATAATCATCCAAAGAAGTTGTTGGTTTAGGATGGCCATTGTCTGTGATAGAAGGCTGATTCACATCTGGGTTTTTTGGGGGTCAGCTTGACCCAGTTACTATGATGGATGTTGACAGGATCCTGGGAACTGTGAAGACTGCCACTTGTGCTTTGAACTCTTGTCCATCTTGGTTCCTTGGCCACAGAGAGGTGGTAATCCATCCCTTCATTTAAAGAAACAACTAGAAGTGTGATGTGTCACCCTGTCTCTATATGCCTTTCCTGGGCAAGATAATTGAGACAGCAGTGGTGGACCAATTCCAGGTCTCCTTGGATAACTCATATGCTCTATACTCTTTTCAATCTGGCTTCAGGCTAGGCTGTGGGACAGAGATACTACTGGTGGCTTCAGTTGATGATCTTGTCTGAATGTAGACAACCAACAGCAGTGCCTCTTTGTTGCTTCTACGGGACTTACTTGCTGGTTTCGATACAGTAGACCATGCTAACATGCAGAGATGTTTGGAGAGCGAAATAGGTATTAGGGATGTGCTTTGTATTGGTTTAAATTATTTATTACAGGCCTGACTTGAGGGGTTGCCACTGGAGACCAGCTATCGTAATTATGGGATTTGTCCTATGGGGTTCCACAGGATGCAGTCTTAGCCCCCATGCTGTTCAATCTATGTAAAGCCTGTAGGAGAAATAATGTGTAGCTTTGGAATTGGATGGCATCAGTATGCTGACAATACCCAGCTCTATATCTTTCTATCCAAAATCTTCTGAGGATGCAATGGCAGTCTTGAGCCACTGCTAAGTGTGAACAAACTGAAACTGAATCCTGACAAGACGGAGGTAATGTTTGGAAATCCTGAGATCTTGAAGGACATTGTGGTTCCCACTTTTGATGGGTTTGGCTGATCCTTGCTGCTTTAGTCAAGAGCTCAGGGGTTATACTGGATCCACTTCATGGACTGCCCATTAGTCACTGGGTTCAATTCAAGGTAGTGGCCATCACATACAAAGGCCTTCAGGGCCTTGGACCCTCATATCTGCAGGAACGGTTCTCCTCCTGTGACCTACCATGAAAGCTTCACTCATCTGAGCAGGGTCTTCTATGAGTGTCATCCTGCAAATGGGCAAGATCAACAAATGCCCATACATGTGCATTCTCTGAAGTAGCCCCCACCCTATGGAATGGCCTGCCTGAGGAGGTCAAGAAGGCACCCACAGTTTTAGCTTTTGGCAAGCTGTGTAAAACAGAACTGTTCAGGAGGGCATTTTTATATAGGACATAAGGCTATATTAGAACAGAATGATTCAGAAAGACATTTCAGTTGAGGGAACATAATTGTGGACTTTATTACTAATATAGATTATCTGTTGCTGTATGTTTTTATATTGTTCTCACTGTATTATATTTCTGCTTATTTAATACTATTTCTTGCATTGTTCAATAAGTCATGTTTAATACTTCTGCCTTGTTTCAGATTTCTGCGATCCAATCCTATTACATTGTTGATTAGATGCCTCCTCATCCTATTGATTGTACTGACTTACTATGTAACCCACCTTGAGTCACAGTGAGAAAGGCAGACTATAAATTAAATGGCAGACAAATTGTGTTGGCACCCAGTATATGTGATGAAAACATATAGGTAACCACATACCTGCTTAATAGACATATTTATGAAGAATGCTACCTCATGTAAGTGCTTACACAGGTACACATCACATTTTTATATCTGAAGTAAGGCCACATATAGCTCTGAGAACTAAATGCTGTGCACTCATTCATTTAAATATGCACTCATTCATTTATACAGCATCTCCATTACAATAGGTCAACAGTGTTCAAAAAAACTGAATAAAGGGAGAGAATGCAGTAGCTACTTTGATTTCTCTCAAAACCTGAGTGTCTCTAAAGAACTGATTTGCTAGTACTACTGTTTACTGAAAATAAGTCATATGAGCCTTATCCCTTGTGGTTGTTTTGAAAGTTGTATACTAAAAACTAAATCTGTGTGGTATGTTACATGTTTCAATGCTTCCAATTCATTAGGTCCACAAGCAAGAACTATTCTTATGCAATCAAGCTTACCACAAACCCAGTTGGCTACAATTTGGTAAATATTTTTTATATTACATATTTGAAGTGACATGTCTTCCCCATTCTTCTGGTCATCTTTAATTCACTGTTAATTTTCTCATTTTTTTTTTTTCTACAAAACCCATTGTGCACTCCAAAGTGTCCCCTGTTGGGTTGCATCCATCCATCCACCAACAGAAGGTGCTGGTAAATGTAAATTCTCTTAAGGCTTTTCTTCCCCACACCAGTCCCTTTTATCTCTCCTATATTATAAAGCTGATTTGGGGTGGCAGGATTCAATTCATGCCAAAATCAGTTGGGTGCAAGAGCAGGATTCAATTCATGCCAAAATCAGTTGGGTGCAAGAGCAGGATTCAATTCATGCCAAAATCAGTTGGGTGCAAGAGCAGGATTCAATTCATGCCAAAATCAGTTGGGTGCAAGAGCAGGATTCAATTCAAGGCGACTCTATCCACTGCCTATGTAGTCAGTGCCCGGCCCTGAGCGCGCCTTTGCCACGTTCTGGCGCCTCCAGCCCACAAGTGCACCACACTGCCTGAGCCGCCTGGGCATTCAACATTTAAAACTTGTTCTTATTCTTCTTCTATATTGCAATACATTTATATACAATTTTAACTATTTTTTCTTCTAAATTGGTCTTCTGCTTGCATAATACACATTCCATCTCTCCTCAAATTTCGTAATTGATTTGTTCCTCAAATAAGTTAATTTTGCCATTACTGCATATTCAGCAAGTTTATTTTCACATTCTTCTAAGTGTGAATGGACATCTAGTTTCTGTTTTGCTCCGTAGATAATTCTAGTTGTTGTCACCATATATTTGAATATCTCCTCCAAAAATTTCGGTAATTTCTTAGGCAGTATACCTAATAGCATATTCTTTTTTTTGTGCATTTATCATGTTACCATACATTTAAAAATCATTTTTATTTCTCGTGTTGTTTATCATGATAATCTTCAATTGGGGACATAAGTGTAGAATTTGGAGGGCTCAATAAATCCCAGCATCTATATATCTAATAGCGAAGTTGCCTTTGGAGATCTTCCAAGTACTTGCCGGGATTGGCCCTGCTTAGTTTCCGAGATTGGACTTGCCTGGGCTATCCAGGTCAGAGCCCTAGTAGTGTATTCTTAGCTTCTATAGGAAATTTAAATTTTAATATATTCTGCATTTTTCTATGTATTTCCTTCCAATATCTTTTTGCTTGTTTACAAGTCCACCATGTATGAAAAAAGGTTCAATCCACGTCTTGACATTTCCAACATTTTCCTTTATAGTTTTTTGTCTGCTTTCTCAATATCCTTTGGGGTTATATACCATCTAAAAACATTTTATACCAGTTTTCTCTTAACACCTGGCTTTCTATCCAGTTTCTATCCACTTTCTATACACTTGATTTCTTTCTCCCATAACTGTTCCCACTGATGCATTGATACCTGTTCTCTAAAGTTCTGCATCCATTTGATCATACATTATTCACTAGCTGGAATAATAACATATATCCATCGTAGTAAATGTTCTTTTTGTTTTATAGTGAGCTGTTCAAACTCGGTTGCATCTCTTAAAGCTCCACCCTCCATGTTGATGATCTTCTTTAGTCTTGAATCTGATTGATAATATTGCAACCATTGAATGTTTATTCCCTTTTCTTTTAATATCTTGCGAAGACTTGATTTTCCCCTGAGCATTTATCATGTTACCATACATTTAAAAATCATTTTTATTTCTCGTGTTGTTTATCATGATAATCTTCAATTGGGGACATAAGTGTAGAATTTGGAGGGCTCAATAAATCCCAGCATCTATATATCTAATAGCGAAGTTGCCCCCGGAGTGCGGATCGCTAAATCAGCGCTCCGGGGGCAGCTGGGGGGCCGGGGGAGGTTTGTGCATACGTGGGCCAGTCCCCACGTGTGCACAAAAATACTTTTAGAGCTTACTCTTGGTTTCTTGCCATTCCAAATAAATTTGTTTATCTGTCTCTGCCACTCTTTCAGTATTCTTTCTTCTATATGTATTGGTAACATTTTAATTGCAGAAATTCTTCCTAGCCACAAGACTTTTAATTTTTTCCATATAGATAAGATCTGCTTGTATCAATTGCCAAATCTTTTGGTAATTGCTTTTGAAAAGATTACAGTTTTGCTCTGTCACATTTATTCCCAAATATTTAATGGGGTTAGTGGCTACTGTACAATCTGTATGTTTTATAATATCTTCTTGTTGCATTAAAATTTTCATTATCATTTTTTCTTCTTTCTGTTAATTTTGTATCCTGAAAAGGATCCAAGTTCTTCAATATGTTCTGTTACATACTATAGTGATTTTTGGGGATTCAAGACTGTTAGAACCACATTGTCTGCATAGTTTTTCATTTTAAACTCTGTATCATCCACTTTTAATCCTTTGATCCTTGTGTCTTGTCTTATCTTTATAACTAAAATCTCTTATCGCTAGAATAAATAGTAGAGGTGACAAAGGACATCTCTGGTGTGTTCCTTTTTCAATAGCTTCTGTTAATTTCCCATTTATTAAATGAGAGAGCCAGTTTGGTGTAGTGGTTAAGAGAGGTGGACTCTAATCTGGAGAACCAGGTTTGATTTCCCACTCTTCCACATGCAGCTGCTGGGTGACCTGGGGTCAGTCACAGTTCTCTCCGAGCTCTCTGAGCCCCTCCTACCTCACAGGGTCTCTGTTGTGGGGAGAAGAAGGGAAGGAGATTATAAACTGCTCTGAGACTCTGAGTGAAGGCCGGGGTATAAATCCAAATCTCCTCCTCCTCCTTCTAAAATCTTTGACTTTCTAGCATGCAGTTCCGAAATTCAGAGCCACAGCTCATATTTTGAAGTACATTCAGTAAGAAAGGCCATGTTGAATTGTCAAATGCTTTCTCTGCATCCAGAAACAAAAATGTTGCTTTTTCTCTCTTCTTGTTCACAAATTCGATTGCGTCTATTCTGAACCATGTATTATCTTTCATATATCTCTTTGGTACAAAGCCTGTTTGAACAGTGTGTATTAAATTTGGTATACATTTTCTTAGTCTTTCTGCCAGTACTGTGGCAAAGATTTTGTAATCTACATTCAGCAGAGAAATAGGTTTGTTTGACTGTGGTAGTGTTGTATCACTGCCTTTTTCATACACCTCTTGCCACTTCGGCTTGTCTTTCCTTCTTTTATCGCATTCACAGGGTTGGAAAATGGTCAGTAAAATCAGTAGAAGTCAGTTTTTTCATCTTGGTCAGTAATTTGTCATTTTTTTTTTTTTAAAAGGTCAGTAAAGTCAGTATTTCTTTAATTTTTGTGAATGCAGTTTGTGTTTTTCCATTTTCCTAAGAGTAATAGTGATTTGGTGAAATCTTCCACAAAGTATAGAAACATAATTAACCTCTTAAAACATGAGACAATGAAAATAGAGGTGATGGATATTGTGGGATTCAACATAGCACAGCTCCTGGTAGAAGGAGTTGAGAAAGCAATGGAAGAAGAGGACACGGGGGGGAAATGCTTGTGGATGCAGTGCAGAAAACTGTTGAGAAACTGTTGAGAAACAAAAAAAGTTTGTGAATAACTTTATTTATTTATTTATTCAATTTATACCCCACCCTCCCCACTGGAGCGGGCTCAGAGCGGCTTACAAAGAGATTAAACATATAGGTAAAAAATTATATACTATCTTAAAACAAATAATAAAACTCTACATTATCATAAAGTGCTAGTAAGTGATCAGGTACTTATAACAATGCTTACAGAAGGCAGAACCAATACTAGTGTTGTAATCAGATGATCTATATTGGTGGTTGGTCTCTATATTTAGGCAACAGCACAGGCTGTTGGTGGTAAGCCAAGGACCAGGGCACTGTCACTTCTCTGCTATTTGAAGTTATTTGGTGCGGCTCCTTAGTCAAAGGCTTGGTGGAAGAGCTCCATCTTACAGGCCCTACGGAACTGTAAAAGGTCCCGAGGGCCCTATCTCTTCTGGGAGCTCATTCCACCAGTATGGAGCCACCACTGAGAAGGCCCTGGCCCTGGTTGTGGCCAGCCTGGCATCTTTAGGACCTGGGAGGCCAATTGATTTTGTGACCCTGAGCGCAGTGCTCTCTGGGGAACATGTGGGCGTTCCCTCAGGTATGTGGGCCCCTGACCATAAAGGGCTTTAAAGGTAAGTACCAGCACCTTGAAGCGAATTGGGTATGCTATCAGCAGCCAGTGCAGTGCTTTCAGAACAGGCTGGATGTGCATAGGGAGGCCTATCAGAAGTCTGGCTGTAGCATTTTGCGCTAGCTGTCGCTTCTGGATTTTGGATCAAGGGCAGCCCCATGTGGAGAGCATTACAGTAGTCCAATCTCGAGGTGACTATCGCATGGATCACTGTCGCCAAGTTGTTGCATTCGAGGAAGGGAACCAACTGCCTAATCAGCCAGAGGTGGTAAAAGGCTGATTTGGCATTGGAATTCACTGCCACAGGAAGTGGCGGCTACAAGCATGGACGGCTTCAAAAGGGAATTATATAAGCATATGGAGCAGAGGTCCATCAGTGGCTATTAGCCACAAGGTATAGATAGGGGCTCTGGGGCAAGTGATGCTCTGTCTTCTTGGTGCTTGGGGGGGGGTCAACAGTGGGAGGGCTTCTAATGTCCTGGCCCCACTGCTGGACCTCCTGATGGCACTGGTATTTCTGGCCACTGTGTGACACAGAGTGTTGGACTGGATGGGC